CTGTCGTATTGTCCGTGAGGACTCTGACCACCTTCCCCGGTATGTGCTGGCGGAAGGCAACGCATGCCAGGCGCACAGCCCTGAGCTCCCTGACATTTATGTGCAGGGTCAGTTCCTCGGGTGACCACATACTCTGGGGTCTTGAAGCCCCCCACGTGGGCTCCCCAGACCAGGTCCGAGGCATCCGACACTAGATCTAGTGAGGGAGGGGGCTCTCGGAAGGGGATATCCCGAAGCATGTTGCTCGGGAGGGACCACCATTGCAGGCTTTCCACCACCGTTGGCAGCACCGTGAGGACCTTGTCCAGGCCGTCCCTGGCCTGGGAGTACCGGGAGGCCAGCCAAGCTGAAGGGGCCTCATTCTGAGCCTGGCATGTCGCACCACAGAGGTGCATGCTGCCATATGGCCTAGGATTTGAAGGCACACCCGTGCCGTAGTTACCAGAAAGGCCGTGACAGAGGCGATGAGAGCTTTGAGCGTCTCGAATCTGTCCCGTGGGAGGGAGGCCGTGGCCACCCGGGAATCTAACAGCGCTCCTATGAAGTTTATTCACTGAACTGGGACTAACGTGGATTTCTCCTCGTTTACCACTAGGCCTAGAGCTGCGCAGGTGTTTAGCAGGAAGTTCATCTGCTCCTGCACCTGAGACCGAGACTTGCCCTTGAGCAGACAGTCATCGAAGTAGGGAAAGATCTGCAGCCCTTTCCTCCTGAGGTGGGCAGCCACCCCCACCATACACTTTGTAAAGACCCTGGGGGCAGTTGACAGGCCAAAGGGAAGGCCCGTAAACTGGTAGTGGTCCTGACCCACCAGGAAACGGAGGAAGCGCCTGTGACCCTCGAAAATGTGGATGTGAAAGTACGCATCTTGGAGGTCCAGAGCCATAAACCAATCCCCCGGGTCTAGGGATGGGATAATAGAGGCCAGGGACACCATGCGGAATTTGCAACGAACCAGGAACTGGTTGAGATTCCGCAGATTGAGGATGGGCCGAAGCCCGCCCTTCGCCTTCAGGATGAGGAAATACCTGGAGTAAAATCCCTTGCCCTGGAATTCCCGGGGTACTCTTTCCACAGCTCCCAGGGAGAGGAGGCACTCTACCTCCTGGCTGAGGAGGAGGGCATGCTCCAGGTCCCCGGCCAGCTCCCGGGATGATGGATGGTGGGGAGGGGGAGAAACGAACTTTAACCTGTACCCTTGGGAGTTGGTGCTGAGGACCCATCGGTCTGACGTTATACGGGACCATTGCAGTCGGAAGGCCGATAAACGGTTGGTAAAACTCAACTTTATTAACTGGGGGGGGGGGGAATACACTGGCAGCAGGCCTGGTGACCCCCTGCAATGAGTCAAAAATGCCGTTTCCTTGGCCTCTTGGCCTTCGAGGGCCCAGGTCGTGGGGCCGAACGGGACTGGCGTTGGGACCGACGCCGCTGCTCTCTCTGCCTCTTAGGCGGGGGCTCGTATCTGCCCCATGCCAGGGGAGCCGAGGGCTGCGGTCTGGGATTGTCCTTGGCCGGCGGGACATACAGACCAAGTGTCTGCAGGGTGGTGCGGGAGCCTCCTTCATCCCGTGCAGACGGGTGTCTGTCTGGTCTGCAAATAATGCTTTGCCATCAAATGGCAGGTCCTGCAGTATAGACTGGGACTCCACCGACAGCCCCGAGAGGGAAAGCCACGATGCACGCCACATGGAGATAGCCGTGGCCATTGAACGAGCCGCCGTGTCAGCTGCGTCTGAGGCAGCCTGGAGAGCTGCTTTTGCTACTGCTGTACCCTCGTCGAGCAGCGCTTTGAACTCCTTCCTGTCCTGCTCTTGAAGGGAGGGCTCGAATTTTGGCAAAGAGCCCCACAAGTTGAAGTCAAAGTGACTCAGGAGGGTTTGGTGGTTCGCCACCCTGAGTTGGAAACTGGCTAAGGAATAAACCTTTTTGCCAAACGTGTCCAGTCTCCTGGCCTCCTTATCCTTCGGGGTCGGTGCAGGCTGCCTGTGCCGTTCACGGTCGTTCACCGACTCCACCACCAAAGAGTTCGGAGTGGGGTGGGTTTAAAGATGCTTGTGCCCTTTTGTTGGCATGAAGTATTTATGGTCCGCCTTCTTAGAGATAGGCGGCAGGGAAGCCGGGGTTTGCCATAGGCCCGTGGAAATGTTTGCCACCCCCTGGTGAAGTGGCAGTGCCACGCAACCCGGTGCTGAGGAGGAAAGGACATTGAAAAGATTGTCTGATGGTTCCTCAATCTCCTCCGCCTGTAGGTGTAGAATGGCGGCTACAAGCCGTAGGAGCTCCTGGTGCGCCTTGAAATCCTCTTGAGATGGAGGAGGCGGTGCCACTATGGACTCATTCGGTGCCTGCAGGGCGACTGGGACGGACCTGAGAGCATCGGGCAGTGCCGGTATGCCACCATCCGCATCAGGGTCCGGTTGCAGTGCCGTTGGCGCCGAGACAGGGACGCAGAGCGAGTTTGGGATGCCCCAGCCACGGAGCGAGGCCTTGGCGGTGCAGGTGCCTGGGGCCACAGTGCCCATTGGCACCACTGTCCTTGCCATGGTGCCCCTTGCCACTGCCCCGCCTGGGGTCCCACCAGGGTTATTTGTTCCTGGGGAGCGGTGAGGCCCGGGGAGGGGCGGCTGGGAGCCGAGGCAGAGGTGGCCGAGGATCGCACGGTGCTGTGGGAGCGGCTTGACCGGTGCTGTCCATGCCGCCTCCTGCCACGGGATTTTGACCTCGACGATGAATAGGTGTAGACGTCGGAGGGCATATCCCTGGACTCCCTTCGGTGGCTCCGGGCGCGGCGTCGCGGTGCCGGTGAGTGCCAGGATGCATTCCGAACGTGGCGATCGTCGTGGTATGATCGGTGGTGCTGTCGGCGTCGAGATCTGCTCTCACTCGACACTTCCCATGCCAGCGCCTGCTGCCTCTGCGGGTTGAGGACGACTCAGGTGATTCACTCCCAGGCGACTCCGACAACGGAGTAGAGGTATGTCTGGGGCTACAGGAGGGCCCGGCAAATCGGAAGGAGGTCTCCACAACCGACGTAGCCGGTGAGGGCTGGAAGCCCAACGATGGTTTCCCTCAGGACCGGGGCCTCACCTCGGATAGTCCACTCGGTACTGACATGGTGGGGACGTCGCGCGCCGCCTGGGCTGCCTCCGGCGTGGAGGGGACCCGTATCAGTGGGGAGGTCCGTGCAGACGGGGCCGGACTACTCCGCTGTGCACGAGTCGGAGAGCTGGGCCCCGACAGAGATCGTGGGCTGGCCAACTCAGGTCCGGCCTCACCTCTGTCCTTCTCACGGCGTCGCTGGGATTTGCCCTGCTTCTTGGCTGGGGAGCGGTGCTGACTGGTGGATGGGGCTTCGCTCCGCACAGATGATGCGGTACCTAGGGCCTGGTCGGGTCGGCGCGCCGGTGCCGGGGCCAATGCCGATTCCATAAGGTGGTCCGGAGACGAATCTCGCGTTCACGTTTAGTCCGGGGCTTAAACGATTTGCAAATTTTGCACTTCTCTCTTATGTGAGACTCGCCCAGACAGCGAAGACACTCGGAGTGCGGATCGCTTCTGGGCATGGAATTGTGACAGGAGTCGCAAGACTTGAAGCCTGGGGCACGGGGCATGCCCCGAGCCAGGCTACCAACTAGAGAAGCTATCTATCGACAAACAAGTACCACTAAGGCTAGAAGCGCTGCAGCCAAGGCTGGAGCACAAAGTTCCGACTACCTTCACTGGCGGCAAGAAGGAACTGAGGGTGAGGGGAGCATGCAGCCCCCTTTATGGCGCGATATACCGGCACCACTCCAGCGGTCGTAGTGGTGCTCCCCCAGTACGGGTACTGCTAAGGGAAAAACTTTCGGCACCGGTGCACGTGGCGAGCACGCACACCTATAGTGGAATACACATGAGCAATCACTCGAAGAAGAACTGAGAGGATGCGGGGCTGGCAGCACCCCTTATACTGGCACATATGCATGCAGCATCAGAGAGCACAAGAGCCAGCCCGATAGATACCACTGAGGGGAAAATTTCCAGCAACGGTGCATGCGGCATGTGTGCACCTAAAGTAGAATGAACATGAGCCAGCACTCGAAGAAGAAATAATCATATGTTTGCCTAGCAATAATTGTATACATAATACATATATAAACACACAAATCATTCAAATACCACTTCTAGAAGATTATATTTCTGAAAATTACACTGTGGCAAAGGAAGTGCCAATTTGCTTGTTCTGCAGTGACATTCCTTAAATAATGATTTGCTTTCCTGGGACAATACTTCTGGAAATGTCAAGAAATATTTCTTAATATTTTTTGTCTAAAGTCAAAATGATACTTCTGGCTTTAAATATGTCAACATTAAAAAAAAAATCACAAACAAAAGTGTAGCCTCAAGGAATCAATCTGAAAGAAAAAAGTGCAAGCTTCCCCTTTTCTTGTTTAGGGCTGGCTCTCCCTCCTCCTTCTACCACCTCCTGCTTTTCTATTGTTTTACGCCTCAGTTTTGCAAGCTGATCCATGCAGACAGACCTCCGTGTTTGTATAGATGCCCACTGACATACAGGAGTTTTATACAGATTAAAGGATCCTTTAGTGGGGCTCCACCTGGGTGCAGAAATCTTCCAGTACAGAGCAGTTTGCAAGCTCAAGGCCCTAGCCTATCAGTTCCTCTTTGGGGCTGGGCCCTTTTCTTAGTAAAGCCTACCATGTTTTACCTGCATGTATAAATAATAGTAAGTTAGTCATATTACTGCAGAACTGCTGCACAGACCAAATGCTCCACCCTGGTTGTGTGTAATGCATATAAGGGCTAAAGATTCTTGGCTTGCATTGTAAAACTGATAATAGAACTCTTTTGGAATGATTCTGCCTCCTGCAAAGTAACATCAATCAATTGAGAAGCAATCCTGGCAGAGACTCAAGACTGCTCATTCAGGTCTGAAGAGGTCATGTGAAAGCATAAATGAAAAAGGGGTGAGGAAGAAATGAAAACAGCTATTCAAATACCTGTCCGGTACAGTTCTGTAGCACCCCTAAAGAATCGGGGCAAAGTTGCCTCCAATAACATAATAAAGTCTTCAAGCTCTTCAGTGACTCCCACTAGGAAGAATTCATTAATCAGGTTGTACTTGGCTTGTTCCAAAGCCCATCTGCTCCCCACATTCCTAAAATGATAAAAAGTAATTACAGCAAGGTTCTGAAGTCAGCCAAGAATTCTTGATTCCTAGATGTAGTTTTCTTCACATCATCTTTGCACAGGCAAGAGAGAGACTCATTTTAAAATCACACCCATCTCTAATTTCCTTTACCTAACTTCCCCTCCCCAATTTCTCTCACCTGTGACTAGGTCAACACCAAACCCAAACGTCATGGATTACGGCTTTACAAGGCTGCTCACAACAGTCTCTTGCTAATACTAACACCTCACCCACTAGGGTTTAGCAATTATATGGTTATTCCTTTAATTAATTCAATTTCTAAAATTTTACTTTTTCTGTGCCTCAAGAATTAAGTGGTCAGAACTACCATTTTTTGCATACTCAAAAAATGGAGTGTGGGGGGCACATGCCCTCCTTTTTTAATGCTCTGATAAATATCGTCTCATAATTCCTCTGATTTAGCAAGTCTTATTCATTACCATAGTTAAATACCCATATAAAAGCAAAGCTGGCCTTACAGAGGAGAAAGAATAGAGCTGTCATCTCTCCCACTTTTATGGTTTCATTGCCAGAGAGGAAAGGGGGGATAGAGGGGCTCAAAGCTTCTTCTTCCTCAGGTCCCACTGCCAGACTGGGGTACATGGGGCTTGCCCACATTATACAGAGTTTGCACTTGAGTACAAGTCCCCAAGTGGCCACCTGCTTTGCTTGTGATTAAATCCACCAAATTTAGGTATAATAGACTTGATAATAATGCTCCGTGTCTTCACTCAGAACCTTTCAGTATATTTGTTTCCACTGACAGCAGTTAGCAACTTCTCTATCACTGAATGTTAAAAGGATTTGAATGGAATTGTTGTACACGAATAAGTCATTTTCAAACTTACATTCCCTGGAGACTTCCTTAAAGTACATGGCTCTTGTATAAGAAACAAAAATGCTTGATCCACATGTACAGTTAATCCTTATCAAATTTCATTTCACCTTCTAACCACTAAGCTGCATTTATTATTGAGAGTTTGGCAAACAGCTTAGCAAAACAGCACCTTAAACCAAGCTACTTATATCATTTTCCCTCTGTATAAAACTCAAATAGCTTGAGCAGGAGAACACTTAGTTCAGACAAACATGTACACTAAGATTTAGCCGGATTCAACAAGAAGTTGTGGCTATTGAATCCGTAATACTGGAGTCTATAATGGAAATGCTGATTTTTAGTTATAGAATTGTTTGCACACTTCTATAACGTCTATTACAAAACAAATGTCTTTTAAACTTATTCCTTGGAAAATAGTTGCATGAATCTTTTAAAGTCAAATACCTTTGGAAGGTAAACTCACAAAGTACACATCAGTGAATTACATGCTGGTATACTCCAGATGCTCTCATTCTTTCTCAACATCTAACCCTCCACCACACATTCACTTATTAAATATAGATTATAGTGATAATATACTTGATTATCCGCTTAAACCAATTTTATCTCCCTACCAGCATTCTGAGCTGTGGCCACAGAAGAATGGAATTTGAAGCCAAAGTTTCTCTGGAGCACAGTCTGAGCCTCCAGCTGCTACACATTCATCAAAGGTCTGGAACAAAGACAAAGTTGCACAGTGAGCTATAAACCCCAGCCTTACATATCAAACACCTTACCATGGCTAGTTGTTAAATGTGCTGGGGATAGCGGAATACAAGATGTGGGGGAAAAGAGAAAATGTATTTTTTTTTCAAGCTTTGTTTTCAAAATACTGTATAAAGAGAATCTATTGGTCTTAACATTTTGTGATTGAAATTAACTGACTGCTTTAAGTCCTGCTTGTATGCTCTGCAGAAAAGCAAGACTATATATTGTTAATATTACAGTTTTTCCTTATTAAAAAAATCATAACAATGGTCCCAAATGCTGAAATAACATTACTGCAAAATGGAGTGGGGATTGGATCATAACTGTATAATACAGTGAATTTTTTGTTTTTATAAAAGATATGGTAAAATAGTGGTAGACTATTGAGCCTACCAACAAATTACTGGTATCTCTTTTCAAATCTGAATCTATAAAAGATGGTTACTTACCTTTGTGTAACTGTTATTCTTCGAGATGTGTTGTTCACTTCCATTCCAATTAGGTGTGTGCACACTGCGTGCACAGTCGGAAACTTTTTCCCTTAGCAGCTTCCGTCGGGTCAGCTAGGGAGCCCCTTGGAGTGGCGCCTTCATGGTGCTCAATATATGACCTTGCGGACCCGACCCCGCTTCAGTTCCTTCTTGCCGGCTACTCCGACAGAGGGGAAGGAGGGCAGGTATTGAAATGGACGTGAACCCCACTTCTCAAAGAACAACAGTTACAAGAAGGTGAGTAACCGTCTTTTCTTCTTCGAGTGCTTGTTCATGTCGATTCCCAATCAGGTGACTCCCAAGCTCTCACCCGGGGGAAGAGGCTGGAGTTAAGGAATCACTGACTGGAGCACCGCTCTACCGAGAGCTGCGTTGTCTCTAGCATGCTGGGTGATGGCATAGTGGGTGGTAAACGTGTGCACCGAAGACCAGGTTGCCGCTCTGCAGATCTCCTGGGATGGGCACCTGGGTCAGGAAAGCGGCGGACGAGGCTTGAGCTCGTGTCGAGTGGGCCGTAATAGATGGGGTTGGGACCTTAGCAAGGTCGTAGCAGGTACGGATGCTGTCCGTGATACAGGAAGAAATGCGTTGTGAGGAGACCGGAAGCCCCTTCATCTGGTCTGCCACTGCTACAAACAGTTGGTTCGACTTTCTGAAAGGCTTCATGCGCTCAATGTAGAATGCTAGCGCTCTACGCACACCTAGTGAGTGAAGCCTCTGCTCCTGTGCAGTAGCATGTGGCTTGGGATAGAAGATTGATAAAAAAATGTCTTGGCCAATATGGAATTGGGATACCACCTTGCGCAGGAAGGCCGGGTGCGGCCTGAGCTGTACTTTGTCCTTATGGAAGACTGGGGGGTGGGGAGACGGGTTGGAGGTTAACGCTTTTAAGTCTGACACCCTCCTGGCTGATGTGATGGCAACCAGGAATGCCACCTTCCACGAGAGATACAGAAGGGAGCATGTAGCCAGTGGTTCGAATGGGGCCCCCCATTACCCTAGTGAGGACCAGATTGAAATCCCAAGCAGGTACCGGTGGTCGGGACTGTGAATATGGTCTTTCCATACCTTTCAGGAAACAGCCCACCATACGGTTGGCAATACCGAGCGCCCCAACTCTCCCGAATGGAATTCTGAGACGGCCGTGAGGTGTACTCTGATGGATGATCCTGCCAAACCTTGCAGCTTCATGCAGTAAATACTCCAGGATGAACGGTATAGATGCTTGAAGTGGAGGTATGCGACTCTGCTCACACCAGCACGAGAACCTTTTCCACTTAGCTAGGTAAGTGGCCCTGGTGGAAGGTTTCCTGCTACCAAGCAGCACCTCTCTCAACGTGCATTGGAGCTCCATTGGGTTTAACCATGGGTGGAGCGGTAGAGTGATTGGGGTGTCCACTGACAGCTCCAGAAGCGTGGTGTACCAATGTTGGTATGGCCACACAAGGGCCAGCAGAATTGCCTCCGCCTTGTCTCTGTGGAACTTGAGCAGTACCTTGTGGACGAGTGGTATCGGCAGGAAGGCATACATTTGATGGTCTCCCCAGGGTAGCATGAACACATCCAAGATAAGAGCCAGGACTGTGCTTTTGGAAAGAGCAAAACGGTGGACACTTCCTGTTGCTCCTGGTGGCGAATAGGTCTACCCGGGGAAAAACCCACCTTTGAAAGAGGGAATGTATGACGTCTGGACGGATGGACCACTTGTGGTTGCGGAACGACCCGTTGAGGTGGTCCGCAAGCTCGTTCCATACTCCAGGGAGATAGCCCATTCCATTCACCTGGAAGTGTCCTGTACAAAAACCCCACAGCTGGAGAGCCTCCCAACAGAGAGGGGAGAAGTGGGCACTGCCCTGTTTGTTTATGTAAAACATGGCCGTGGTGTTATCGGTCAGCACTGCCACACACTGACCTTGTAATCGGGTCCGCAAGGTCAGGCAAGCTAGTCTCACCACTCTGAGCTCCTTTATATTGATGTGGAGCAGGATCTAGGACTGCAACCACCAGCCCTGTGTCTGTAGATCTCCTGCGTGGGCCCCCCAACCCAGGTCTGACGCGCCCGTTACTAAGATCATGGACGGTTGAGGGATGCTGAATGGGACTGCTTCGCAGACCATGCGAGGGTCCAGCCACCAGCATAGGGTATTTAAGACTTGCTCCAGCACTGTTACTACCAAGTCTGAACTGTCTCGAGATAAGCTGAGGTGAGCCATGCTTGGAGTGGTCTGAGCCTCAGCCTGGCATGTCTGACCAAACAGGTGCATGCCACCATGTGTCCAAGGAGACTGAGGCATGTCCTCATGGTTGTGATGGGGTATTGCCTGATAATCTGAATGATGCCTGTCAGTGCTTGATATCTGGACTCTGGTAGTATCGCTCTTCCCTGAACCGAGTCCAGCACCGCCCCAATGAATTCTATTTGTTGGGTCGGTGACAGCATCGACTTGTCCACACTGAGGAGCAGTCCTAGTCTCTGGAAGGTCTCTCTGACTAACTGGACTTGGGACTCCACCTGCTCCCTGGAGCGCCCCCAGAGCAGCCAGTCGTCGAGGTAGGGATAAACCTCTCTCTTGCAGAGAAAGGCCGCAACTACCGACACGCACTTGGTGAACACCTGGGGGGGACCTTCAATGCACCGTGAACTGATAGTGTTTGTGGTCGACAACAAACCTCAGGAAACGTCTGTGGGCCAGCCAAATGGCTATATGGAAGTGTGTCTTTCATGTCGAGGGCAGCGTACCAGTCCCCTGGATCCAGGGAAGGGATAATCGTGCTCAGGGAGACCATGCGGAACTTCAACTTTACCATGAACTGACTGAGCCCTCGCACGTCTAAAATGGGTCTGAGATCCCTCCTTTGCCTTGGGGATTAGGAAATAGCGGGAGTAGAATCCCTTGCCCCATAGCTCCTGAAGAACCTCCTCCGCTGCCCCTATGGCGAGGAGCGATTGCACCTCCTGGATAAGGACTTGCTCATGAGAAGGGTCCCTGAAGAGGGATGGGGAAGGGGGCGGAGGGGGGGGGGAGGAGCAGAATTGGAGAGAATATCCCACTTCTACCGGGCGAAGACCCCAGCGGTCCGATGTTATATGGGACCACACACGGTAGAAGTGGGATAGATGGTTCAGAAAGGTAAGGACCCAGGATAGTGGCGGGTATGCTGTCCTTGGGCGTCCCTTCAAAACCCTTGTTTGGGTCCCGATGGTGGCTTGGTCAGGCCCTGCCCATGGCCTGAAGGCGGATTAGAAGGTCTATGCCTATTGTTCCCTACGGCGGTATGTGTCCTACGTTGGGCGAGGCTGATATTGTCTCTGCTGCTGCTGGGGTTGAGGCTTGAAAGGCTTTCTTCGGGTAGTAGGCGAGTTCATCCCCAGAGATTTCATCATTGAGGCTATGGAGCCTCGAGTCTGTCTGCTCCGAAAACAGTCCTGCGCTCTCAAAGGGAAGGTCCGGCAGGGTCTGTTGAACTTCCAGGGGAAGACCGGAAGCTTGGAGCCATGCGGTCCTCCTCATGACCACTCCATTGGAGATGGTACGTGCCACCGAGACTGCCGAGTCAAGGGAGGCCAGTAGGGATGCCCTGGCCACCGCCTTCCCCTCCTCGACCAGAGCTGAGAACTACGTCTTTGACGCTGCAGGGAGCAACTCTTTGTATTTGGACATAGAGTCCCAAGAGTTAAAGTTACATGCTGAGGATAGCCTGCTGGTTGGCTATCCTCAGCTGTAGGCCCCCTGCAGCATATACTTACCTGCCAAAGAGGTCTGTACATTTGGCCTCCTTAGCCTTGGGTGCGGCGCCTGTTGCCCTTGGCACACCTTTTCATTCACCGCTGAGACCACCAGGGAGCCAGGGTGTGGGTGGGAGAATAAAAAACTCATATCCCTTGGAGGCGACAAACTACTTCCTTTCCACTCCCCTGGCAGTGGGCAGAATGGAGTCTGCCACAGGGTCTTATTATTATTTTATTATAGGTAACACCACTCTGGAAGGACCCCTCTGGGGTGAGAATGTCCACCAGTGTGTCCTCTGATTCGGTTACTTCCTCCACCTCTAGGGTCATGTTACGGGCAATGCGGCAGAGCAGGTCCTGGTGTGCCCTGTGGTCAATGGGTGGAGGACCTGAAGCTGATGCTCCTGCCACTGCTTCATCAGGCGAGGATGACGAGGAAGCACGTGGGAGTACAGGGGTCCTCACGGCTCTCTAGCTGCCCGGGTTGTTCCTGGGTTCTGTTAGACTTCTCCATTGGTCCACCTGGTTGAATGCATCCTGGGCTATGGCTGGTTCTGGAGTCAGTTCCGCTGACTCCCCTGTAGTATGAGGGGGTGGTCTGAAGAGGGTCGCATCCATAACTCGAGGGGTAGGTCTACCCATCGGTGACCGGGAAGGGTGATGTCCTGAGGCCACTGACCTAGAAGCCCTCGAAGGGGTACCCTGGGCCTGATGGTAAGCCCAGGGGGTCCAGAAGGGCCATTT